TGTTTGTCCTGGGTTTTTCATCATTACTTTACAAAGTATTTTAAAAATCCAATAATACTGAAGTCTTGAGGATACTAAAAGGCCAGAAAAACACCATTTATAGACTTACTGATAAAATGCTTGCTCTGATTAAAGTAACAGACTAAGGCTATAAGGCATAGATTTCCATTGGCATTTGATTTTAAAAGTATGAAGATAATTCTCATTTAAAGTAAAAAAAAATGTATACACATGTAAGTAAATGCAAAAAAAAAAAAGAAAAGAAAAGAAAAAATAATTTTTAAGTAAAAAACAGGAGTCTGAACTCAAAATATAATACAAAGCACCTGAAGTAAATCAGGACTGATCTAATAGGGTTTTCCAGATGCACACAGACTTGGTGCCTTCTCCACCTATGTGATGCAGGCAGTAGTGTGCCAGCTAGTACCATGCACAGCACCATGTTGTAGGTGATAAATGCAAGAGAGGCCAAGTTCATGTACTTTCCTCCCCTTTACCATAAACAGTAATTTGTTAAGTCATAAAAATGTCATAAACACAGTTTTCATTGTCGTGGAATACACAATATAATTAGAAGTCATTATCCTTCAAATGCATGTTTTCCTCTCTCCCTTTGCTTCTAATCTCATCCTCCAATCAATTCTTCACACTGCCTGTGAATTATCTCTCCAAAGTAAAAACCATATATGGCAACCTCCTTCTCACAACCTGGTAGTGACTCCCCAGTGAAGATGGACTAAAGCCTCAAGTCTTGTTTATGATATTGGAAGCCCAGAGTATGTATCCCATTAATTAGCACAATCTTACTGTCTTCTCCCCTTAATCTGTAACTGCAAACCCAGAGAACCAGACAGTTCCCTCACGCTCAGTCTAATCCCAACATAGCCACCTACACGTGCCGTAACAACCTTAGGTGAATTACTCTTTCTCTCTGACCTTCATTCCTTGGCCAACAAAATAGAAACAATAATACCGGTTGAGCTCCCTGATTCAAAAATCCACAATCCCAAATGATCCCAAATCTGAAACTTTTTGAGCACACATATGATACCACAGGTAGAAAATTCACACCACAGAACTTTTATAAATATTAGGCACAAAAGTCAATGTTTCATGAACATTTTTTTAAATGAGGAAGGACTTTAAGGTATAGGCAAAATTAAATGAGGAAAAGAAATGCAAGCTTTTCTCATAGTACTTACTAACTAAAAGCATGCTACTCCAGTGTGAGAGCATAGTTAGGCAGAGGATGGTGCTCACCAGTACATTTGCTCTTCAGGAAGAAACACTGTGGGAGGTGTGCAGTGGGCCCAGAATATATTTAAGATCACCACCAGCAACTTTCTTCATGGAGGAGAACTGATGACTGATGATACCAGCAAAGGAGAGGTTGAAAAAGCTGGACATGATATGGCAAGTGACAGGCAAAAATAGACAGCATGACATTGTACAGGTCCAGGGTTAAGGATGAATAATAAGCTGACCTAAGAGTTCTGGCAGTAATCTCTCTTTTCCTATTTAGCAATGCTAATCATTCCATTAGCACATTGTAATGTGTGATGTGGTTTTTATCTATATGTTCTCATATCAACTAACAATGAAGCTGGTATTCACTTTGGGGCTTTTGAATTGAAGGGAGAATTTGGAAATTTGGAGTTGGGGGTTCAGAGTTAAACTCATAAATAATAGAATAGAAATAGAAGAAGCTGAAGTAATTCAGAACACTTGTATGTATATAACATGTAAAACTGAAAGGAATACAGCTATAATAAAACAAGATAATATACATGACTATTTTAGCTCAGGACTGAAAATACAGTAAGTGTTGGAATACCCATAAATTGAATTGGAATTTTTTATTTTCTTGTTCACAGCTATGCTCAATTATGTACGTTGAGTGAGTAAAAAAAAAAACCCTGGGACCAACTGATAATGATCTTTAGATTCATGCAGATTGTTAAGAGACTGTTCTAACTATCCAATGTGGGAGAAAAAGAGATTCTATAAAAATTATATAAATTGATTATGAGGAAGAATTTGCCAATATCCAGACTATGAAGTAATAAAGTTGTGCACTAAGTGAGGTTATAGAAATGTTTTCTCTCCAATCTTAAAACGAGGGCCAATTCCCATGTATCAAAGATAGAGTAATTCTGGTTCAACCCAAGGCTAAAAAGAAGCAATGAGACAATCACCCAAATTCCTCCCAGATTTGGGATTGTATAAATATTCTGTTTAGTGACAACACATTGGATATATTTTTTCTTAAGATATTTTAAAAATAATACCAGTCAGAATTTCATAAATTCCATCCATACTTCATAACTTGGGTTTTCAAACCCAGAACTGCATATGCAACTAAGCAAAGTATGAAATCTACAAATAACTAAAGATTTAAAAGACTGGGTTAAGATATAACCTGCATCCTCTTCATTGTTTAGCTTCATCATGAAAATTACTTTAATTTTGATGCTAGAATCAAAACAACCCAATCTTCTTAAAAGAAGCCTACTGTCTACTGTAAAGTAATAACATGTTTTAGAGACTTCTAAGTGTATATCTTAGAATTCTAACTTAAATATATGTTTTGGAAAATACCAATCATTGATCATGAAAGGCTGGTTACATTTCACTATGACAAACAGGCAAAAATAGTGTGCTTAAATTCTTATTTCCTCATGTAACTATTTCATATGATATGGAAAAGAATCAACACATAATTTTTAAGAGTTGGAAAAGAGTAATTCAAATGCAGAAGATATATCTATTTTCCAAAAAGAGATTTTCATTGTATATCTCATGAAAATAACTTTTAAAAATGTTAAGCACATACTCAAATAAAACAATAGGAATAAATATACATACAGACTTAATAAGGAGCTGGAAAAAATTATGATACATCTTTAGTAAGAAACATAAGAATAGGAGTTTGTGAGCTGAGAGGAAAAAAGGGTGAAAATGAATCATAGTTGTAACTGAAGTTATTTTATAAGTTTGATGATTAATGAATTATTCAAGTCTATATTGTGTTACATTATACCAGAGTCATGTGCTTTCTTTTTTGGAAATTGTGGAAATTTTTGTTTTAACTCACCTAAAAGAAGAGAATTTTATTAGCATATGTAACCTCAGACATCATTAAATTGTTCTTTTAGCAACTTGCTGCAAAAAAATTTGTATAATGCATGAGTAAAACTGGCTCTTTAATCATTCTAAAATTTGGGTTCTTTTGAAAAGAAAAAAAAAACACCAGTATTTATAGCTCTATGTTCCTAGCACATCAAAAATCTATTCTAAGAAAAAGAAAGGTCACATTATTACACTCAGGAAACAAAACTCTGTATTAAGGAAAATATTACCAAGGTTTTAAGAAGATTTACCATTCTTTGAACATTATCTACCTGAAATTGAATGTCCTTTTGATCAAAATAATGGTTTAATATTCACTTGAATAGTAAGACATATGTGTTGATTAATTAATTGTAGATTTTCTGTATGTGCTGTTTTTATGAGAACTAATTAGCAACACATCCATTTATTTTCCTCTATTCAATTATACTACTCAACAAACTATGAAAATACACATATGTTGGGATAGAGTGGAGTATGAGAGAAAAGAGTTCTTCAAATCAGTGCATACTTTTACATAAACCATGTCTTTCAAAAATGCTATCACCACTGGTAGGTTTTGAAAAACTAATTACATGAATTCTACAAGTACAGATTTACAGTTAAATAACAGGAGTTAATTCCTCAAGATGACCAAAAACATTCTTCAAGAAAGCAATTAGATACATAATAGTGCACAGTCAAAAAACAAAAATAACCACATCAAATTTAGCCAGGTAAAGTTTATGTTGGATAAATACACAGTGTTCATCAAAGTCAAGCTACATTGTGCCCCAGGTAGCTTTAATTTACCAACACACCATGTAATACATTAGGCAGACAAACATTTCAGAGTAGTAGAAAACAATCCGATTGAATATTAATTTTCAAAAGTCAAACATCCTCAGTTCATGATGGTAGTCTAGCATGCAGGCACAAAATCCTGTGTTAGACTTATCTTTAAGTGTCATTAGCCCCCTTTTGCTAGGGTCCTTACTAAGTAAAGCATGAGTACAGATACCCAATTTTGAAGGGTACCTTAATCTGAAAGAACATATAACCTTCAAAACAACTTGAGGTGGCCTAAGTTTTACAAGTCAATGTGATCTAATTTTTACTATGCTTTTCCTTACCATTTCATTATTATACTGGTTTAAGGAGGACATTCTAGTGCATTTACATACTTATAAAATATATAGGAAATATGGTAGGCTCAGTACAATTTTTACAGAAGGATCTCAAATTTATTTGCTTGGCATTCCCAAAATAGCTACAAATTTTAAGTAACTGTTTTAAAAAAGCAAGAGACTCTTTAAAATGACAGCAATTTAGAAGCATAAATAAAAGTAATTAATTGTGCAATTTCAGAAATGGAAACTTACTTTCCTTTTCCTTAAGTAGTGTAAAGATACAAGCCAACTTACACACTAGAAACCTGGTGATACAGTAAGTTAGACTTTATACATTGTCTTAAGAAGTAAATTAGAACCAAGATGCAAACACTTTCTCTTGTACCAAAAGTATACTATTTTTTAAAAATCATCAAGCACAGAACAAACAAAAAAGTCACCTATCACCTCAACAGAAATGACACAAAACTCTGACTTTTAAAAACTCCTTTCTTACTCCATTTATGTAGAATTAGTTAAATATTTGTATGAGCAGTAATTTTTGAAGAGTCTCTACAGTTCAAGGCATTTTAAAAAAAATCTGGAAACAGTAGGTAACACAATGATAATTTATGCATACTTCAGCTGACCCACTCTCTCCATCCATTTCACACTTGTGGTACGCATTTGGAACAAAACTCGGTGTTCCATTTTCCACTTTCTAAATCACTGCTAATGCAACGATCTGCAATGCACTGTAGATACCGCTAAGCCCCTTCTTACCATGTATGAGCCACGGTGAAGCGGCGACGCTGCCGGATGCTTTTATTCACCAGCAACTTTCTGAAAAAGCACGGTGAGTTCCTTGGCGAACTGCGTGGAGAAATTTTGGGAGATGTAGGTCTGTTTCCCGGTAGTCTTGGAAGCTCAAGTTCTAAGTGCATTTGCTCCTTGAAAGTCTTTATGCAAACCTCAGATTCAGAAGCAGTAAGTTCCTTGGAAGAATTTTTTGCTGTCATGTCTTGTATGGAGTGCTAGCTTTCACCATTCAAAACAAAAACCTCAAACATAGCAGAGACTCTACTGCAGGTGAAAAAGCCTGATAAACCTGCAAACTCTTTCCAGTTCAATTTGGAAAGCTGCAGCTCCAATGTAGGAACTGCTCAGAGCAAGAGCAGCATATTCGAAGAATGGCAAGTCAGGCTGTCACAGGGAGCTTTATCAGGCTGGCTTTGCCTCTGAAAATGCGCCAAAGTGCTTCCTATGTCAGTAGCCTCCTTGTGGATGAGGTTTGTCTGCAAGCTACACACTGACACTCACTGAATTCATTCAGCTGAATATATCAACTGATGAAATATTCATAAGGTCTCCTTTACATGTATTTATATTTAAGTCTTATCAAACAGGCTATATTCAGTAATGGATAGTAACCAAAGCCCAGTCACCTAGTCACTTGTTTTATTTGCACAAAGGGCAAAATCAGAATCCGTTCAGCCTGTGTAATGTTTAAAGTCTTCATTCAGAATTATCTTGCCCTGTAATGCACACAACAGTAACTCCACCCACCAAATGCTATTGGCCCAGGATTATTTAAACAACTGCATTCTGTTTCCCCTTGAAAACACCCTCCATCACTCATATTTTCACTAAATTTGTGAGGCTACTGTCCTCACAACAGGAAAAGCTGATTAAATCAGGGATTGTCAAAAAGCCCAGCTAAAACAATCTTCCAAGTTCCATTTCTGAATCAAAGAGCTGATTTGCTAAAGTTTTTCTTTTTTCTCCCTTCTCCAGAAGATCCAAAACAGCATCAATATAAAAAAAAAAAAAAAGTCAGTGAACAGGAAAACATTGGATTTGGTTCATTCCCCCCAAGGAATTCAAAGCCTAATTTTTATTCCAATAAACATTACCCTCATTCTTCTGTTTAGGCTCATTGTTCATGAATTGCCCACAGCAGCCACTGTATGCTAGATGCAAAGCCTCTTCTAGAGACAGCAAAAGCATCCCCAGTAACAACGGAGAAAAATGAGTGGTCCTAGGTCAAATGTGGAGTCCAAAGTTAGGTACTATGCATGTGTTTGTGTGTGTGCAGAGAGGTGTACAAGGTATATACAAACATGTTGCCTGCTGCATGATTGCTTGTGGAAATATAGACTTGATAGTGTGTGTGCATTTTGTTCATAAGGATTCCAAGTGAGACATATGGCCAGGGGAGTCTCAGTCCAAAAGTAGATCATTATAATCTGACATTTTATTTAGCACTGGAATGCAGCTTCTATACTTTAAAAGTCACATGGAAATAGATGGTGCTTGAAGATTCTGGATGTTGTGAAAAGTCTGTATCAGCAAATGATTGTCACCAGAGCTAGCCTGATCTCCAACAAATTTGAGAAATTTGAATTAGGGCTAGTCAGTCAGCAAAAGTGACAGAAAAGGAATGATTCACAGTAAAACTTCAGGGGAAAAGGGAGACATTCATTTTCTCCACTAATGTGTGAGGTCTTCCAGACTTATTAAATCATTCATGTATGTCATATACTCCAGCTAAAAATGTGCTGAATATCCAAAAGGTTAAATAAAAGCAGACTATCACTTACATGTAGGAACAAACAGATCCCACTTCAGTCCTTCAGGAAATGATTCAAGCATAATAGAAAGGGTTTGAACTAATGATTGATAGGTATGACCTCAGAAAGCTTATCAATATTTAAATAAGTAACTCAAGTGCATAGTGAACAAAAGCACTGTCATGGAATTTTAGGTCTTCATGGTAACCTTGTTTAACAACTCATTCCAAGGAGTGGGAAACAGAACTGAAGTGACTTGTCTAGTCATATATTAAAGCCCAGGATTTCTGATTCCTAATTGAATGCTCTTTAATTCAATTAAAAAGTTGTACATTTGTCCAAGTAGGTCTTGGTACATGATTTTCAATATCTGAAGATACTTTAACTGCCCTATTTGAGATGACAGATTTTTAATAATAAGACTAATGATACCTCTTATTTGCTAGATTGTGAAATAAAATCTGAGACTTTCCCGAATAGTATGATTTAAGACTGGGACATGAAATTATGTATTTCTATCATGAATTCAGGGTGACTTATTAGCAAAAGGTAAAATAGCAAACATCACACCCCAGATTTAGCTGTATGTGAACTGGGATTCAGATCTGGAAATACTGATATAAACTTTTCTAAAACAGCAGAATAGAGCCACTATAATTACTTTCTGATTCTTCTTGCCAATTTATGTGGTATCATGTAGCACTTCGCATTATTGTCTTCACCTTACCTTTTATCTCAGTGTCCTAATTAAAGAGGCTTTTAGAATCATCCTAAGAAATAAAGTTCTCACAAATCTGTAAAGCCTGTTAACGCTACCTATCCTAGAAAAATTCAGGAATACCACAGAAACTTAAAATTTAATAGATAACCAGACTATCTGAAAGCCCAAATTCCTTATCTCTGAAGTTGAGGGGTGGCAATGCATGACTACAGATAAATGCATGAAAGTCTACTTGTGGAGTCAAAATGTCAAAGAAAAACAAAACACTGTGCCAAATGCTGAAGTGAAAGATGAAAATGGAGCCAGGAATGATGGTGCATGCCTATAATCCCATCTATGTGGGAGGCGGAGATAGAGAGGATTTTGAGTTCAAAGTCAACCTGGACAAAGTCATGAAACCCTATCTCAAAAATAAAATGAAAACAAACGGGCTGGGAGCATAGCTCAAGTGGTAGAGCTCTTGAGTATGAGCCCTTTTGTTGAATTCCACTTCCCCAAAAGGAATCTGGAAGGCAGAAAACAGGAAATGCTAAGAAAAAGTAAACAAGCAGAGAGTAAAAGAAAACAGCCTGCTGGATTTCAGCAGAGAACACTAGTTTGAGAACAGGAGAGAATGCAGATAGAGCTTATGTGCCCAGTGTATTAGTCAGCTTTCTGTCTCTGTGACAAAATACCTGCCATAATCAACTTAAAAGAAGTAGTAGACTACTTTGCCTCACAGTTACAGAGATTTCAGTCTGTAGTCACTTGGCCCTGTTGTCTGTGGGCCTGTGGCAAGGCAGTATATCATGGTGGGAAGAGGTCTGTTAACCTCATTATGGTCAGAAAGCAAAATGAAAGACAGAGGAGGGATTGTGGCCTCAATATCCCTTTCCGGGGCCCTTCCACCAATGACCTACCTTCCTTCCATTAGGCACCTTTTCCTAAAAGTTTCACCATGTGACAATAGTGCCACAGGCTAGTGACATTTGAGACTGAAACCATAGATTTTGTTTAGTGCCTAGGAAGGAGCTAATGAACAGAATGAAAACTTTCTTATCCAAATATAAACCTTAGCCTTTTGCACCTCAAAAGGAGAAATGAGTAATTCTGAATTTATCAGTGTATAAATATTTGCCCTTGAAAATTCCAATGATAGCTAAGTCTCTATATTAAAAAATGAAGCATCTGGTATTCACATCCTGCTAAAGCAATAAGAACAAAATTACATAGTAACTAACAATCAAATAATGTATTACTTACAAATATTATGGAAAAAATATAAACATTTAGTTTTTGCTAAATTGAAAAGGAAAGACAATTAATTTCCACCAAACAGAATTATAAATTTATAGTGTAACGATAATAACATTATTGAATGTTTTTAAAAGTTAACAGCCTTGTAATAAAGTTATTTTAAATGAAAATAATTATATTCTCTCTGTATTCAATATCCTTTGAACTGTAAAAGTTGACCTGGAGTAAATTTCTCTCAACGATAATTTTTCAACTGACTTTCACAAAACTACAGCATTTTAAAGACACAAAGCTATAGTTTGTGTACAGTGACTTTATACCTGGCCACAACATCAATTTCAAAATAACATTGCTCTCATTTCCTGTAAATGCAAAACTGGATACTTGAGAAGAATTCACTCAGAAGTTTTTAAAGAAAGGAATATATTTAAGACTAGCAATATTAACTGTTAAATTATTATGTATTTATCTCCTTCACTATGGTAGCTCCTTTTTGCTGAAGTAGTATATACCATCTGAAAACTGCCACTAGACTCTATTCAATCAAAGACACATAAGTTATCTTTCTTGTCAAAGACAAGATAATGAGAACAGAAGAACAACAGCAAATCGTAGCCTTTTCTAACCATCTAAAACAACAGAAATATTGCTATAGTCAACTATATCACCACAAATTACAACTTCTCCTAATTTTTCTATTTCGGTTTTACGAAATGGAGCTAGACAATTTTTCTAACATTATTGAAAATAAGACAATATAAAACTGAATAAAAATAGTTGTCTATCTAACATGGAGAAAGTACAATTAACTGACAAGTCTTAGGAATAAAGACATATGGGGACTGAGAATATAGCTCAGTAGCAGAAGAGCCCTTTCTTAGCATGCTCAAGGCACTGGGTTTGATATCAATTACTGAAAAAGAAGGATTATTGAGGTAAAGCTTATATCTCTTGCAGACTTGCTGGATTTCAAATATGATAGTAGGAATTTCTAATAAATACTTTCATTTGATCCTCATAGGCATATCAGACAAATACTGTTCAAATCCCTTACTTGAATTTCCTAGGATATTAACTATAATATCCTTTAGGACTGGACTAAAACTTATATAACACCATATTTCTAGAATGTGAGAGTCTGGTAAAAACATTATTTGTTAAATATACATTACTTTGTCCAGTTTTACATAAGAACATCAAGACACAAAACTGCATAGCTATTAAGGAGTTGACCCGGGTAATAAAACTCGGGTCTTCCCATGCTAACTATAGCATCCATTTTATTATATGCTACCCCATAATATCACAATGGTACAGAAGAGGGAACACATGCCCCCAGGGTAGTATATTCATATCTCTGAAAGTTTATTTTCACAAGTAGCAAATATCCTAAGTCCGACGTTATATAGCGTGTTATCTTTATAAGATGATGTGAATGCTTTACTCTATCCATATGATGTTACTCATTTCCTCATCATCAGTAAAATGGTACTCTAGAAAGATCAGCTTTCTCACCACACAAGGGAAGTATGAGGATAGGCAAGACACCTAAGAAACTAGATGGCATTTGTTGCCCTCAACGCAGAGAAACTAAAGCAGATACTTTGGGGCAACTGAGGCCAATAAGAGAGGGGGAACAGGAACTAGAGAAAAGGTGAGATCAAAAAGAATTAACCTAGAAGGTAACACCCATGCACAGGAAATCAA